GTCCCACAGCCCTCTGCGGCCCAAAGTTAAAAACTGTTGTTCTTTTGTGGCCCTCAAGGTGGCGCTCAGGTTAAGAATCTCTGTTTTAAAAAAAGCTGCTTTAAAAGCAAAGCAGATCATAAACTACATCTCCCATAATGCACGTTGATTATTTTACCAATAATGACAACCCACCACTGAGAGGCGCTGTACGCGGCTCAAAAGTAACCGTGTAAAATCTGCATTTTCATCAGCTACTTTTGCTGAAGCCCAGTTGTACTGGGAAGTGGGTTACAAGTCATAATTTAAACTGGAACACCCCCTCCAGTGGGAATTCCCTGTAGGAAAGTGGAAGAATTCAAAATTCAACACAGCAGCTGCTCACCACAACTCATCAGTGAGTAAAACTCATACTTTTACTTTTGATAGTATTTCTGTATTATTTATTTTACATTTAGTCGTACACATAGTACTTTTCAATGTTTATAAGAGGACGTGTTAAAAACACGGTCTCTATGCAGGAAATACCACGTAGAGCTCAGTGTTTACTAAAGAGAAAACCAGGAGGGAGTCCAGGCTGTACCAGGACCAGCTTTTGTTCCACAGCTGAGGTGTCCAGTCCTGGTCCTGGTGGGCCACGGTCCTGCATGTTTTACTTGTTACTCTACTTCAGTACACCTGATTGACTGATTTATTTACCCCTTCAGAACCACTCACTAATTTAAAGCAGGAGTGTTGAAGCAGAGACCTGAAGGACCTGTAGAACTACTGATGAGAACCTGAGTGAACCAGGTGAGACAGAAGAACCTCAGATTGAGCTTACTGTGATGGAGATTCCCAGGCCTTCATGATCCTCCTTGACTAAAARCACCTTCCTGATGGGACCCACTCCCTGGCTCTTCTTCAGGGCYTCTTGGTCCTGTGGTTACATCAACAGTTTCACTTTGGACCCAGAACACAGACAGGAGCAGGTTCTGACTGTAGCTCCACACTCACATGACCCGCAGGAGAAGGAAGAGGTTTCTTTGGATCACTGCGACCTCTACACGCTCGGATCACAGTCTTGTGACGATGGAGGTGAATCTCTGCTTCCAGCTGGTTCCACAACTTGTCATGGGCCGGTCCTTTCATGTCCCGACCCAATAGCTGGATCTGTTGGACCCTGGAAGACAGAACACATACAGTAGATCTGAGCTTGGTTTTAGTGCTGCAGGTTGGCTGTTAGAACGTTTATAAGAGGCAGACCACGGCAATCCACATCAACATCTCCTCAGCTTTACTTTGGACCTGCAGTCAGAACCACGGTCTTACTTTGGACCTGACTTCAGGACTATGGTCTTAGCTTGGACCTGACGTCAGGACCACAGTCATAACTTGGACCTGACGTCAGGACCACGGTCTGAACTTGGACCTGATGTCAGGACCACAGTCTGAACTTGGACCTGCCGTCAGGACTTTGGTCTTACTTTGGACCTGACTTCAGGACTATGGTCTTACTTTGGACCTGACTTCAGGACTATGGTGTTACTTTGGACCTGACTTCAGGACTATGGTCTTACTTTGGACCTGACTTCAGGACTATGGTCTTACTTTGGACCTGACTTCAGGACTATGGTCTTAACTTGGACCTGACTTCAGGACTATGGTGTTACTTTGGACCTGACTTCAGGACTATGGTCTTACTTTGGACCTGACTTCAG